TTGACTGGCAACTGGCAAAGCATTCACAAGGACACAACCAAAATTCATCCACTGCCAGGTTACTGATTAGAGGGCCTTCTTCCCCAGATCAGTTTGCGGTGGAGGGAAACAAATAAGCTAGAACTGGAAACATTAGAAATGATTGAAATATCCTTATGCTACTCCTTCTTTTTGAAGGAAGAACAACTTAATGTACAGGATCATATTGGTCTGCACAGGTTGATACATTAAAAACAAGCAAACACACATGTGCACACACACATACACACTTAATCCGAGGAGCCAGGGCATTCCAATGAACATGCAGTGGCTGCTGTGCCCTTGTGGAATGTCTTCTCTGTCACCATCATGTAATATCCATGGATGACAAGGATTATAGTAAACCTGAGGAGAAGAAAGATCTCCAGAAGTCATCTCCCATCATTCCTGATCATTGGCCATGACTGGGGGGCAAGAACGTCTGGAAGTTGTAGTCCAAAACATCTGCAGATTGACTTTCTGCCACCCCTGCAGTAAGCCATCCTTCCTCAGCCTGATACCTTCCCAAATCCTGCATTGTCCCTGTTCCATGGGACTCATGGAAGATACAGTCCAAGGCATCAGGAATACTTCCTGCTGACAAGTATTGAGTCGTGAGGTTTAATTCTCTCTGTGGAGCCCCAGTGTCAAAATTTCTCTACCTGAAACCTCATTTCTCATCAGACCCAGTCAGCATGGAGACTGGCCAAGAATGCTGGGAGTTGTAGTCAAAAATAACCGGCAGGCACCAGGTTGGTAAAGTTTTCCTTGCTAATACTATTACGATATCCAGCTCTGTCGCGCCAGGATGAAAGTAACGGAGTGCGTGTTGGTTTTCCGGGGACACGGGGCGGGAGCCAGCCAAAGGACTTCGCTCTTCCCATTCCGCTAGCCGGCGCATTCCAGTGCACTGAAAAGCCAGAGAAGTGAGGGCAGTCTCCAGACAGGGCAGCGCTTCACACCCACCATTGCACATGTGCAGAGAGCTTGCACATGCTCCCTGGCCGCCGCTCGCGAGGTGTGCACATGCTCAGTAGCAAAATGGACGCTTTATTGATGCAGGGTTCATTTTAATAGCGCCGCGGTCGCTGCCGAGAGATCGCTTTGCCGCTGCCTTCCAGCCTGCTCGCGACCCTCGGCTCGGCGATGGGCCGCTGCAGGCTTCTCAGCCGCCCGCGGCCGTGATCGAGGGGGCGGCATCCTGGCACTGTTGCGTCTTTCCTGGCTTGTGGTAAGTCCTCCTCCCCCGCGACCCCCAAATGCAGCGCCTGCACCCAGGAAAAGGGCACTGTCGTGGCGCCGGGCTGAGGGCTGGGGGCGATCCTGCTGCGCACCCGCTTCCAGAGGAAAGGAGAAACTGCGGCATGCATGAGGCTGGCTCGCGGTGGGGAGGGGAGACCGGCGGGTGGGCCGTGGCAGACAAGGCGATGCTCCACACCCTTGCAGGCGCTCGATCTGGACTGCCGCTCCCGTCCGCCCTGCAAAGAAGGGCGGTGGGGCTTCCGAGCCGTCCTGCTTGCTCCCTGCCGGCAGCCCCTTCGTTCAGGACCTCGGCCAGCACTATGCAGCTGCCGGAGCGCTGTGGCCGCCGGCTGCGCTCGCCAGGGGCATGGCCTCCTTCCGGTGTTGGCGAGCCACTGGGCACCTCCTGGTGCTGTTGCTGTTGAGGCCCGAGGGGACGGAGGCAGGCAGGTATGCGGGAAGTGCAAGTTGCACTGGAGGGAAATCGCCCCTTCCTGCCTTTGGTGGGGCCTTGGGGCGCTTCTGGAAGCCCCCTCCCCCAGTTAAATTGTGGGAAGGTCCGCATGGCATGAATAGAAGGGGTTCCTGACCTCTTCTGGTCAGTGGGGAGGAAGAGGAAATCACCTCTGCTTTGGGAAAGGAACGCAATGGCCTTGTTGCTTCGGCGAAGCAAGGAGGAGGGCAAGCACGAGGGGCAGAAGAGCAGCGAGACTGATGAGGCGGCAGCAAAGGGACACCTGTTGCCAAGGTTACACAGACCATCTTCCCGATCTTTTAAAACACATTTCAAAGCAGTATCCTCCGATAGAAGCACTATCAGTTTCATTTTCCCTTTGCAGCTGTCTGGTTTTCATTGCCTGGGTAATGTGTGTTGATATTTTCATACGCGGGCAGAGAGGTCACAAAAGTCCCTCGGCAGCAGTGGATGCATGAGATGGTGCAGGTGGACCACACTACTGTGTCACTAGGGGGACGGGGAGACACCACCATCACCACTGCTGCTGCAGGGGACGATGGCCTAGCAATCAAAGCGCGGCTGTGGGAATGGAGGGCCCCATGTCTCCTTTGGCTGGAAGCCCTGGCTGCTGTTGCTCTGGGCATAAGAAGATGCTTCTTCTGCTGCTCTTGGAAGGAAGACAAGAATGTCTTCTGTTGCTGTGATGGAAGGGATATAAATATCCTCCTGCTTTTAAGAAAAAAGAAAATGTGTCTAGCCTCTGCATTAGAATAAGTGGGAGAAAGAAGAATGGAAAAATAGAGCTATGCAGCTAGTGCATAGTCAATCCCTTGCTTTAGAGAGCAAAGGAGAAAGGAGAAAGCACTGCATATGGTGCTGAGACCATGAAATGCAGAGATCTTTTTCCCTCTCGCAGTTCAGCTAGATGCATTATTTGGCATTATTCATGCTGTATGAAATCCACTGGAATGAAATGTTCAATAAGCAAGCATCATTCAAATACGATGTGATAGTAAAATATTTTGAGTTGTGCAGGGAACACCAGCACTTTTTCTTGCCTATTATACATGCAGTAGTGATATAATACTAATAAGAATGCTAACCAAAGTCATTACTGGTGTTTAATTCATTGTATCAGTAGGCACATGAACTCTTTGTGCATCTTATTAAAGCATCTCAGGGCACAATACTATGCATATTTAGGCAGAATAAGTCCTACAATTCTCAGCATCCTCTAGCTAGCTATAGTGGAACTAATCCTGGGAGTCAGTATCTGAAGGACAAGGCCCTGAAGTTATATGCTATTTGTTATTCACAGCCTATTGCAATAGTTACAAGTGAGATTGGTCAGAGACACCATTGACCTGAAGATGTGTATGCTAGCATGTATGGGTGACTGTCAGATTTAACATTTGAAAAGGTGGTCTTCTGTAGTATGTAGCTTCATTTGGGAGTTTGTTCCACAAGCACTTCAACTGCAGGTGTATATTAATAATTAATACAGAACTATTATGCATTTACTAATTATTTATTTATAAAATTTGTATGCCATCTCTGGATGGCTAACAGCATAAATAAATTGACAACCCACTCTGGCTGCAATTAATAATACACAATAATAAAATTCAATATTAAAGCTTATTAAAATATTGATTAAATAAAAAGGTCTTAACCTGGCTCTGAAAAACATAATGACGGCGCCAGGCAGACCTCTCTGGGGAGCACATTCCATAGATGGGGTGCCACTGCAGAGAAGGCCCTCCTCCGGGTACTCTATCTCCTAACATCTTTCACAGAGGGTTCCCAGAGGAGGGCTTCTGTTGCCGATCTCAGGGGGCAGGAGGGCAAATAGTGAAAAAGGCGTTCCTTTAGATATCCTGGTCCCAGGCCATTTAGGGCTTTATTGGTAACAACCAGCACCTTGAATTGAGCCCGGACTTCAATGGGAAGCCAATGGAGCTGATAGAGTACTGGGGTTATATGAGAATAACGCCCAGTCCCCGACAGCATCCTGTCAGCTCTATTTTGAACCATCTGAAGTATCCGGACTGTCTTCAAGGGCAGCCCCACATAAAGCGTGTTACAGAAATCCAACTGGGAAGTAGCCAATGCATGTGTTACTGTTGCTAGGCAATCTTCCTCCAGGTAGGGATGCAGCTGATGGATTAGCCAAAGCTGAAGGAAAGCATTCCTCGCCACCACTGTCACTTGAGCTTCCAAGGACAGCTCCGGGTCGAGGAGCAATCCCAAGCTGCGGACCCTGTCCTTTAGAGGGAGTGCAACCCCATCCAGGGCATGGCCCAAGTCACCTACCCAGGAGCTCGAATCACCCACCAACAGAACCTTTATCTTATTTGGATTGAGCTTGTTTGTTGGCCCTCATCCAGCCCATTACTTCGGCCAGGCATCGGTTCAGTACAGCCACTGCCTCACCTGGGTTAGTTGAAAAGAGAGGTAGAGCTGGGTATCATCAGCATACTGATGACTCCACAGCCCAAACCTCCTGATGACCTCTCCCAATGGTGTCATGTAGATATTAAATAGCAAGGGGGACAAAAACCCTGCGGTACTCCATGGCAAAGTTGCCATGGCACAGAGCCAAAGTCCCCCAGCACCACCTTCTGGAATCAGCCATCAAGGTAGGAGTGGAACCACTGCCAAGCAGTGCCTCCTACTCCCAATCCCGCCAGCCTATCCAGGAGGATACCACGGTCGATGGTATCGAAAGTCGCTGAGAGGTCCAGGAGAACCAACAGGGATGCACTCCCCCATCTCTCTCCCTGCACAGGTCATTGTACAGGGTAACCAAGGCAGATTCAGTACTGTACCCGTGTCTGAAGCCAGACTGAAATGGGTCCAGATAATCAGTTTCATCCAAGAGTACTTGGAGTTGTCCCACTACCATCCATTCCAACACCTTGCCCAAAAACGGAATGTTGGCCATCGGTCTATAATTGGTGGTCTGGATCCAGAGATGCCTTCTTTATTATGATGAATGTATGTTGCAAATACAGAGGGCTTCATTCAAGACAGAGTGATTTTACTGGGATTATCATACTTACAAGCCTAGCCCAGATACTTCTGTCGGTAACCAGACAAATGATATCCAGGAACTGATCGTTATACGAATACATATTAGTATTTAGTGTTTTCCATGCCTGAAAGCTGTATGATTATTTCTTGTATGATTTCCCCCCTTTTTTTCCACTTTCAACCCCTTTAATATAAAACCTTTTCTCTCTCTGTTGTAGGTCAACTTTTGTTCCAGACTTTGTTCCCCACGATGAAGTGTTTACTGGCAATTCTTGTGTTTGTTTTTTTCTCCTTATATGTTGAAGAAGTCTATTCCAAAGAGAAATCTTCAAAGAAAGGGAAAGGGAAAAAGAAGCAATATCTCTGCCCTTCGTATGTTCTTTCTATATTTAAAATAACTGTGCATAATGAAAAGGGTGTTGGTTGTACTTTTACCATTTCACAACAAGAGATGGCATGCACTGAAATGCATCCGGTAGGACAACTGTTTTGAGCAAAGCAAATATCTTGTATGGAGGAAATATTCCTGTATGAGCCATGGGAAAAAAGCTGAATGAAGCTGGCAGAAAGTATGGATGAAAGAGTCTGAAGGCTTGGGAACTTTAGAGGAAAAGGAATAAGAGCATACTGCATAAAAAAGATAGGGGATAGAGGTATATAAGAAAGTTTGTTGACTGTAATGGACTGAAAACTGGGTGAAGTGGTAGATGCTTAAAGAAGGAAGAAACAGGAAAACATGGAAAAAGAAGGGTCCAGAAGAAAATGGGGCTGTCTGCTCTAGACCAAGTAGGGAATTGTGGAGGTAGTGGGTCCAGAGCCCAAGAAATGGGTAGGTCAAAAGAGCTAGTGGAAAGCCTGAATTCCACTTACTCAGTTGGATCTGAATTTAGGTGTCTGTAACATGGGTGATCGAAGTAGAATTTTCATGTTCCATCCTTCTGGTTGTCCTTCCAATCCCCCCAGTTGAATAGGGTAGTACATGGTGGAAGAGAAAAGCAGTATTCTCCTGCAAAACCCAATTCAGATGGGACTCCCAACCAACTAGATCATCTTCCCCAACTTGGTACCCTCAAGAAGTTTTGGACTAGAATTCCAATCATGCTAGCTAGAGATTATATGTCTTGTGCATCTGGAGGGCATCAGATTGGACAAGCCTGCACTAGCTGGTCATATCTTTACTATTGGTTTCTGCTTTCCAGTCTAATTCAATCAATGGTGGATTTGCATGACACGAGCCATGGCAATTTTGTTTTTTTTTTACCATTGTTGGTCTGTTGTGTAGTCTGGAATCTATTGCAGTATTTTGGTGTGCTGTGATTTTAGAAACCATGAACAGACAATGGTCTGTTCTATGGTTTCCTGGTACCACAATGACATGTCATGTTGTCTAAGCTGGAAAACACAACTCATTGCTGTGCCAAGGCAAGAACTAGAAAACTGTTTGGAAAGCATCACCGATGGCTGCCATTTTGTGCAACTGTCTGCCCGTGTTCTGCCCGCATTCTGTCCTAAAGATCTCCTCTGGGTAGGAAAGGGTAATCAGCTGGTTGGCAAGGAGAAGAGCAGTGCTGCTTATCTGATTCACCCACCGTGTACACATGCACGGAAAGCTCTTCATGCCCAGCAGAGGGGTGAAAATCAGCTTGGCAGTGGTGCCCAGTTGGGGGCTAGACATGGTTCCATCCGGAGCAGGATGGGGGCAAGTGCCTTACCAACTCCCTCATCCTCTCTGCTGTTCTTTAGGGCATGAGCCCTGTTTGCATAACAGAGGGTGCCTGAGAGTTGCAGCAAGCCAAAGGTGGCTTGCAGTCATGGTTGTCAAGGAGAAGAAGCTCATTCCTACCTGAGGTAACACCTGGAAGACTGAGAAGGCATGAAGAGATTTACTATAATGAGACTGATCATCTGCCAGGTACCTGGAAGGATAAACCCATGAACTGTGGTGACCACACAGGGATGTGTCAGCCCAGCCATGGAGTACAGTGGTACCTCGGTTCACAAATGCCTCAGTTCATGACCAAATCAGTTCACGAACAAAAATTTCAGAAAAATTTTGCCTCCTTTCACGAACTCCGCATCAGGTGACGACCACAATCGCGGCTATGTTCCTGCACGAACACAATCACGATCGCGGCCATCTTCCCCACACGAGCACAATTGTGACTGTGCCCATCTTCCCTGCTCGCGGTTGCAAACAGACCTGTGGTCACTTGCTGTGAAGCTTTTTTGTGTGCTTTTTAGCACATACAGTACTGCAAAGTATTATTCAATAATAATATTGAATAATGGCACCAAAGAAAGTGCAGCACAAGAATGGTGGTAAAAAGAACATGCAGAGGGGTAATGAAGGTGACCAGAATGTGCAGACTTTTCGCCAGAATTGACCCTGTAGCTAAGAGACAAAGAAAAGAGGAAACCCCTGAAAGAGATCTCCCCAGTGTCCTTATGGAGGGGGACTCTCTCTCCAAACAATAACCTCCCTCCCACATCTAGGTTAGTGTTCTTTACTGTACTGTACTTTGTTACTTTGTTTCAAATCTTTGTGATTAAAAATATTTACAGAATGGATTAATCTTACTTACATTGAAACTTATGGGCAAATTTAACTTGGTTCGTGACCAGAATCGGTTCACAACCATGTTTGTAAGGGTCAGAACAGATTAACCTTATTTACATTGAACATTATGGGGGAATTTGACTTGGTTCGCAACCAATTTGGGTTGTGACCAGAGTCATGGAACAAATTAAGTTCATGAACCATGGTACCACTGTACTCTTAATTTTTCTTTCTGAAAAGCACATCTATTGTGCTGCTGTGCACATCTTCATATGTATATAGCAACTTGGTAAGCAGATTAGCTGCACAGTCCTATGTGGTAAGAAACAGCCTTCCTCAAACAGGTGCCTTCCAGATGTGTTGGAGTGTAACTAGCATTAATTCCCAGAGAGTGTTGAGGATTACCCTGCCTCTCACGATCAGACTCTGGGAAGCAGGAGATGTTCTTCACTGCTTGACTGCAGACAACAACTGGCTTACAAAAAGCACATGGTGCACATTTGTTACATGGTAAATACTTGTCTGGATCACCCATGGCTTAGTCTATTTTTCTAGTTGTATTGAACATAAGCTTGAAAAAACATTCTGCTTGACTTGAAACTTCTCATCTCAGTTTTAAGATACTAGTTTATCTAATTAAGTCTTCAAAGTTGATGGTCTGAAGTTCAATTATAAGGAAGTTCTTTTCATTTTATTCTTCTAGGTAATATGTACAGTGCTATGCAAATTGCACTATATTGGCACAACCATTTTATGTGCCTCCACAATAATTTAGCAACTCTGCTGCAAGAAATTTATTTACAATCCAGGTTTACAATATCTTGTTTCTGTTCAAAGGCAATAGCATTCAGCGGGAAGTTCAGCAACACAATATGTCTTTGTGTAAGCACTTAATGTAGTGGGCTGGTTGGCTTCCCAGTACTGTATAGGTAAAATTCAATGTTTTGCAAAATGTATCTTCATTGCTCCCTCAGGGCAGATTGTCATCCAGATTCTGTTTGCCAGTGTTAAGCTGACTAGTAGCAATATGAAGCCAACAGATGGGACTACAGAAACTGCATGGGGGAAAAAGTTAATTGTTATGTCGTAGGCAAATATTTACTAGAAATGCTTTTCCATTTTCCAAATAGGAGAATTCTTGGTATGATTACTCATGCTTCTGTTTAGATATGGTTATGTAATTATTGACTAGTTTGGGAAGTTTTTCTACTGCCTGTTTAGGTCTCAAACAGCTTGTTTCCACAGTTTTACAATGCGGTTTTTACCATAAAAGAGTCATCAAATTGATCTTTCTTGGGATTTGGCTTTTGTGAAAATGGCTTTAATATTATCCATTTGAGTATCATCTCTTCTTTTATTTCACACATGTTGATGCAAATTCCTTGTTTGGTATACTTTCCTTTGATCTGAATAAAGGATTAGAGGACATGTTCATGGTTGAAGTCACAATGGCTGTTGAGGACACTAAGTTTTCACCAATATAGTTTAACTGATGGTGTTTCTGTGTGCATTGCTGGAATGGCAGCATGAATTGTGTTGGTCCAATGACTGGCAAAGCCTTCCCATTCTAAGAATTCCCTTGTTGGAGAAATGTCAGGAGTATTAGATCTCAGGTTTGGGGCCAAATCTGGCCCACCAGCTGTACAAATCCAGCACTTGGTGGTTTCTGAGACAGCAGCTCCCTCTTCCTCATGTCACCATGGTTACCGCATGTGAAGACAGAAGAAAACCACTCTCGGTTTTCTTCAGCAGCCATGGCTGGCTGAGGAATGTTAGGGGTTGTAGGACTTTTTATGTGTAAACATGGTGGGAACCTTTAGTTACTGACAGTAAGAGTATTAAGCTAAAACAAGCTGGTATTTTTGTTACTGAGCAAATTTCTCTTTCCCTTTTATCCCATCCTCCTTGCCTTCAGACCTGTGTAATATACAGTGTGGTCCCTTCTCTGAAACTGGATTCAGCCCTTGGGCTGATAGAGGTTCAAACCTCCTGATTTATGTAATATTATGACAAGTTCATTTGTACAAGAAATCATATAACTGTCTCTGTCTTCACTGGGCACTTGGAGAAGGTGGCTGTGTACTTTTGGTGAACCTGTTTAGTGAAAGTTCTGGGACTATGTTTGGTGAGATGTATCTTGAGTTAAGCATAGTATCTAATACTTTAGGTGTAATCATGTGTTGTTCAGAATAACAGCTATGTAATGGTACTATAATTGCATAATGGATACAGAATATACAGCTTTATGATATCCTTGGCTGTCAGAAGCCTTTAGTAACCTGAAACAAGGATATTAATTCATGAGAGACCTTTTGAATGTTTCAAGCTAGGAAGCATGAATGAGTCATTTGCTTTCATGTTTCTCTTGTACTTTTGAATACTGATGTGTGCGTCTCTCCTGGAGTATGGAGAGCTGCTTGTTCTTCTTTTGTGAAGATAGCAGAGACTTGTGCACAGGCAAAAACTAGCCGCAACCATTATTGGCTACAGCTCTCAGTAGCCCTTGGTGTGGCATTGGGCTGGATCTAGGCAAACTGACTGCTGGTTGATTCTCTGCTTGCACCCATATGCTGATAGACCACCCTGGGAATGATGAAAGCATTGTGGACTGATGCTGTAGGGATACCTCTTCTTCCTGAGTGTGTAGCAGGGATGCCAGATTCTAACCCAAGCAGTAGCATCATAGCTGCACATCCACAAACACACATTCACACTCCCCTGAAAGTCTTGCCAGAGATGGAAAAAGTCTGCACCTGTATAAATTATAATCAGGTAAATTATCATGAGAAAAGCCTGTTGTACTAGACCCAGTCTC